TAATAGATGTTCAAAATAAACTATAAATGTTCAAAATATATTTTAAAATGTTTTAATAGCGGACTTTGCATTTTACATAGATTTTAAATTTACCAAAATATGCATTTTTTTAAGTATTTTCATTTAGTTAAATATATGGAATATTTTATGAAAATAAAATAAAAATGAATATTCGAACTATTTTTAACAATTTAGGTAGCAAGTACGATTGTATATAAAAAAAAAAAAAAGTTGTTGAACATGTATTTATAGAAATAAAACAAAAATAGAGACACTAGTATTTTTGATAACATAAAAAAGATATATTTTTGGAGCTTTATAGTTGGCTTAGATAATTTTATCTACAGCTGAATTTTTTTTTGAATAATATATGGATATTAGGATTTAATAAAATTACATCGATCAAGTTAATGCATGCGGACTTTAGTTTTAGAAAGAAGTTGAAATTGAAAAAAAATTTATTTTATGCTAGTTTCAAGCAATGATAACTTATGCAAATATACAATAATAAAAAAAATTTATTATTTCAAATTAAACTCTATACTATAAAATTTGTTTAAAAAAAATCTATATATGCATATAGTTTTAAATTTATGCACAAATGAAAAATGTTGTAATTTTGCAAGAAATTCAAAAGTTTTTAATCGCTCTTGGATACGGTTATTGACTTTTCTTTCAAAAAAAAATATAAAACCTATATATTTTTGAATACCCTGGACAATTTTGTGTTTAAAAATAACAAAAATAACAAAAATTACCAACTTTTTTTTTTTAATTTTGGCCAAAAATCAAGTTTTTCAGACCACTGTGCGTTGGTATTTATGTAAAACAAAAAATATATTAAAAATATTTTTTAAAGTAGAAAATTAAAAGCTATCAAACCTTTGTTTTGAATTAACAATTAATGTTCAATAATATTTATTAGGGGTCGTCCATAAAGTACGTACGCTCATAGGGGATAGGGATAGCATATAATTTTGTTATTGAAAATATTTTTTACGCGTACCTATAACGCGCACAACGCGCGCTTTCGCGTGTAAATGTCTTTTACGCGCGCAAAATATGATTTAAATAAAAAAGTCGGATTCCTTGATCCAAAATACTATATAAAAGAGTACCATATACTTTTAATGAAAATTTTTCTTGTGCCTAAGGCTTGTACTACACACGCGTTTACGTGTTAGTGTCTTTTACGCGCACAAAGAACGACTTAATTTAGAAAAATTAAATTCTTCAAACCAAAAAATACACTAATTAAATAGAAAAATTGGATTCAAAAAATATTTTAGTATTATAACAATATTAAAAAATGTTAAATAAAAATAAATATTTATCTTACCTGATTTTTCTTTCAAGAAAACAAAAAAGAAAATTTATAAAAAAGCTTTATTTCATTATTACAGCATTAACAAAGATAAAATTTTAGGGTTTGGTGTTTTTTCATTTTCAACCTTGCATTTTTTGAAAATAATGTTGGATATTACAGGATCACTAATCAACAGATATGGGAATTGGTTTTTCATAAGATTCTTTCTAGATATCTTGGCTGTATGGTTTAATCTAATTTTGCGAACTTTCTTATTTAGAGCCTCCTGTGACTCTTCAGAGTAGTAACCAATTGGTAGTTCTAATGCCTCAGATATTTGCACACCATGTTCCAAGCATTTGTGAACAGTTGGGGGAACCACATACCATCAATAGTTTTTGAGTATAAGAGCTGTAGTTTCATAGCATTACTGGCCAAAACTTTCAGAGTTCAACTCAACAGGAACATACTGATACTAGAATTGTTCTCGATCTAATAATTACATCTACTCCTGTAATATCAGTGAAAGTTTTAGCATTTTCAAATGCCTTTCTGGCAGTGTTTCCGTTGTTAATGTTGCCGAAAAACCCTACTTAGGCATATCAACTATAAGACTTAGCTCCTCTCTAAACCTCAGTTGAATGTTCTTTTTTCTAATTTTTACTGATGCTTATTCAGCAGGGGATTTGGCAAAGTATATTTTAGTGTTTAACTTGTATCCTAAATGTAAAATATATTCAAAATATCTGAGCCAGCAATGCAGAGTAGAAAGGCCTAAAGATAAAGCTTTTTCATTGATTGGTTTAGATCTGATCAATTCTGGGTTATTAAGTTCACTGGGCTTAGCTCCGCAAACATTACATGATTGGGAAGACAGAGTGTTAGTAAGGGCATTAACCACTTTACCATCAAACATGGTTAAATCTAGTTTAAACTTAAATGTAATAGTCGTATCCGGTTTGCCTTGATACTGTTTATCAGAAAGGTCACACTGAACCTTTAAGCTCGAGGCTTAAATGTTTAGTGTGTAATATCATCCTTTATAATTAAAAACGGGGGAAAAAAATACAAAAAAAAAACGAAGTATTTAAGTATTAAAAGGTCTTACTTTAATTATGGCAAACATTTTTTTTTTTTCTGCTTTTATATATACCTATTAATGAGAAAAGATTAAAACTACCATGGAATCTAGTGGAAGCTTTTAGTTTTTGAACTAAACTCATAATTATACTAATTTTAAAAATTCAATTTATGACACATTTTTGAGATCTCAGTAATGAAAATCAGAAAATAAAATTTATTGTTAAAAATGTTATTAATAGTTACCAATAATCTTAAACATATGACTTCAAATTAAATTTTGAACTGTTTTTACCCGTATCAATCTAAAAAGATTGACACTAAAGCGACAATTTTTTGAAAATATTTAAGTCTCGGAAAAAGATGTATAAATTGGTGAAATCTTGAAAATTATTCAAAAAAAAATTATTTATTGTCTTTTAGTGGTATTTAGTTACATTATAATTTTATTAAATATTTTCTAGCAATAGTTTTTTATGGGGAGTTTTTGCCGTTTTTTATGGATTTTGACTCACTGTGCGGCGCACAGTGGGGTATTTGATTGATTAAGGCGGCCAAAACTCAATTTTCAGAACTTCCAAAATAAATTTAAAAAGTTATTTTAGCAATGCTGAATGGTTAGTGAATATTATAAACGTTAAGTAACTGCAAATGGTTTTAACAACAATCGGCAGGATATATACAAAGTTGATCATTATTTATTGTCTACGCGTTTTCTTTTGGTCGCTTATTTTTTAAGCATTTATCAGCTTCAAATAAAGTTTAATCAATATATATTATTTAATATTTTGTAATTTAATAAAATATATTTCAAAGTGTTTTGTAATGAATTCTAATGAAGTTGGTAAAAGTAAATACATTTAAAAAGTTTTAATTAGTTTATTTGTGATTATATATAATTCTGTTGGTTTTGTAAAAACTCTTTTCTTTCTCTCGTTTTTTGCAATTTTCACTGCAAACTTTCAGAAATTAGTAAAAATTTCCAGTTTTCTGTTTTTTTTATTAACAGATAGACTAAGGTTTTGACTTCAATGATATGTAAAAATCACCTGCCATTTTTTGCCATTTTGTTCTCCGTATTTGCTTATTCATTCTTCTTGTTCTTAAGTGTATGATAGGAAAAGACCAGGCGGGTTGTTGTTTTTGTATAAACTTTTTTTTCTCTTTTTTTTTCTTTTTTTCTCTGTGTACTTTAAAGAAAGTAAATTTTTACTTTTTTTTAAATAAAGGTTTACGATTAGTAATATATATTTTATCGAAACTATAAAATAATTTATTTAATAAAAAAAATACTAAACTTCATGTTCAGGTATATTTTAATTTTTAACGGAGTTTATCTTAGGTTCGTCAGTGTAAGAGAAACGACCCGAAAAATGTTTTTTGATCTAATGCAGAGACAAATTGTATCAAACATGAATGAGAAATTAATATTTTTAGAACATTACGTATTAGCAAAAGATAATTACTCAGACTAACAAATAAAAGAAGTAAAACATAGTTTATCGCACTTTAGTTACGAGTTAAAACAAAGATGGTCAATAGCAAAGAGGGATAAAAATTTGTTTTTAATAAAAAACAGTGATTGGCTAGATGGAAATATTGCAATACCTGCAGTACTGCATCAAGGGGGTAGGCCAACAAAAAACTTTAAAGAATTAAGCGAGAGAAGTAACAGAAGAAAAACAGAAAACATACGCGCTACCACAATTTCAGAAACTTTGATCTGTGCCGCTCAGGTGGAATTAGGTGTGACAGGAAAAAAAACTGCTTCAAAAATTTTAAAGGACATTATCTACTCACCAAAGTGAGAAAAAATGCATAAGATAACATACTCTAGCGTTTTACAGGAAAAAAATCACGGTATTAATTCCACTGGCCATGTTTGTAGAAGCAGGACTTTCCAGAAGACAACATGAAATTGTTAGAAGTTCTTGTAAAACATTATATCTTTGCTATAGTATCCTGCAAAAGGCAAAAGTAGATTGTTATCCAAATAAATAATCTTATTATTTTATTGAAACTTGTATTGCAGTCAATTTACAAGATTTATTGGACCATACCGTTACACGATTGGTATGATGGTATTTGTTACCATACCGTACCATACCGTTACACGACCATACCGTTACACGATTGGTATGATGGTATAGTATTGGTATGGTAAAATAGAATCTAGCATTTTTAAAATCCGAAAAAAGTGCTAAGGGTCATAAATGGGGCAAAAAGGTAAATTGAGGGGCCTGATGCCCATTTGACCATTTTAGACGCTCATTACAAAAAATATATAAATTAATTAAGAATATGTGTCTTATAAAAATAGAATATAAAGTTTTTAAACTATAAAAGTCGGAACAAAGTCCTAGGGATCACAAAGGACACAAAAAAATAAGATTGAGGGGCCCTACCCCCATTGAAGTATTTTAGACGCCCATTGTAAGAAAAATTTGTTAATTTATGATATTTGTCTTCTACAAATTGACACAAGTGTTTTAAAATCGAAACAAAGAACTAAGACTCACAAATAAAGCAAAAAGGTTAAATTGTTGGGGCCACAAGTCCATTTAAACTTTTTAGATGCCTGTTACAAATAAAGACTTTAAGCAATTTAAAAAAGTAAAACAAAAAAATATATATATATTTACAATATTAATTTATATTTGTTACACAATCCAAATACACATTAATTCATTTTCCTGCACTTTAGAAAGCAACATGTCAAAGTTAAAGATAAATTAAAGTCTTCTTTCATTGAAATTTATTACAGAGGATAACAGCTGTTCTCCATGTTGAGCATGGTCTTCTGCACGTTTATATCTACTCCAGGTAGGTTTAAATTTAGAATGAATTGCCTCTCCACACTGTTCAGCAAACTTAGCTAGACCACAGTTATGGTGTTCGACAAAGGGTTGAACATGACACAGCAAGATGTGAAACTTCCAGCTTAAAGAACATTTTTTCCCTAGAGCCTGTGCAAGCTCTTGGGTAGAAAGGAAAGAATTTTTAAACACAGTAAATGCCATTTTATACTCTGTCAAAAGAATTTGACCAAAACAGGAATCTTTTACTATTTTAAAGTCTTTCAAACACTGAGTTATTGGTCTCAGTTAAGGAACCTGAGATGCTACTACTTTATCAAGTTCATCCAGGTTTTTCAGGATCTTGTTAGAATTATTTCCGTCCCAACCTCTACCTTGATACCCTCTCTGATAAACAATTTTAGTTTTCAGCCAGTCATCAAATTCAGGCCAAATATTTATAAATAGACATCCTAAAGTAAATACAACTCCAATCAAAAGATGTAATTCAGGAGGTGGTACCAAATGCTGAATTAAAGTATCTGGACTCTTCTCTAGATAGAGAATCCTTGGATGTATCACATTCATATATTGTTGCATGTTAGATTTTTTAAATTTATTTTCAACACTGTATTTTTCATACCAATAATCAAGACTTCCAAGAGTTCTTAACTTTCCACATTCTCCATTTTTCAAACCTTCACACCACAGGCATGCTCTTTTTCCTGCATGACCTGATAGACCAAACACAGCATTAGCCCACTTTAAATCAAATGCTACAAAAAAATTGACATCTTGTAACTTGAGTTTTTCATATATAATTCTTAAGTTATGATTTGATTCAGGAACATCTTCAACAATAGCAAGAATTTGACAACGTTGAACACCACTATTCATGTACATTACAGAAGACTTTTTTTTTTCATTTACATCAAAAACATTGATTATAATTTTCAAAAAGGATCCTCCACTATCCATAGATATTCGTACAAATGCAGAATGAACGTCTAAACCACGTTGGTTAATCAAATCCATTGTGAAAGATGATGACTCTTGAACATACACAAGATCCTTTTCAACAATTCCCAATTCATTGTCAAGGAAATCTATCTGTAAAGATGTATAAATAGATAAGTGTCATTATTTTGTAACACTCATATAGAGTCATTATATTGTATATAAAAATTACTAAGAAAACTTAAAGATTAATAAAAAACACAAAACATTTATGTAAATTATTCAAAATCTAATTCGAATATCATTCAACTTTAAATTAGCTTCACTATTTTATAAAAATATTGTACATATATTGATTGTTACACATTGTATAAGTACATTTTGTAATGAATAAACATGTTTAGCCATAACAAATAATACTTATATAAATAATACACACTTGCTTGGCTAGGACATATTTTTTTTAATGGCATTTTATATATTTATATGGCTTATGGAAGAGTTAAAGCAACTTTTTTTACAACCTAATGTCTTTCCTGGTGTTAGCCTGTTATGAAAATTAGGAATATATTTTACAACCACTATGAAGATTAGTATTCAAAGTAATAAGTTAAAAAAGCCTTGTCTGATCTAATATAAGATCAGTTTCTATCTTACTATAGAATAAGGATGTTTTATTTACAGTGAAGGATCTCTCTCTTTTTTGCATATCATTTTATATTAGAAAATCTAACATCATAAAAGAGCAATTTTTTGATCAATATATTACTAGATATCTATAAATAATATATAAATATGAATATATTTAAAATATAAATTACCTTTTCTACATGATAAAAATGTGATATGGATTCCGAAAGATCATTTAACTTGCCAAAAATGTTAGTTTCTACAACAGTCTTACTCCCTATTCCTTTCCGAAGAGTAGAAATTAATTGTTTGGTCTTTTTATTAGAAAGCTCTAATACGACTTGAAGTTCCTTTACAACTTGTAAGGATACTCGTTTTACTGATCTTCTATTTACCTTGTTAGAAGGACATCCTACAGTTACATTCAACGGGTTTCCCCCAGTTGATAAAGAAAATGTTGTCCCTGTTGAAATGCAGTCTGCACTTATTTTATTTTGTATTATACCTGAAGCAACTTGTTCAGCTTGAATGCTCCCTAGACTTGTGGATAGAAAAATCAAGCCAGCCATTTAAATTTATTGAAATCAATGTGAATTATATCCAAAAAAATGCATACTTAATATAATACCATTAAGTTAAAATACTTAAACTTGAGAAAACTTTAATTTAAATTGCTATCTTAAAAAAAAGCTAATGCAAAATTCCTTTTATATAAAGTTACTAGATCAGCAAAAATTAGTTAACGCTTAACTAAAAACAATTTAAAAATCTTTTATAATTATGAAGCCTGGATTTGATTTTCTCATTAAAAAATTTACCTTAAAAAGTTGCTTGATTTATTATTATTAATTTATGTTGACATATAAATAAAAAATACAAAGCGGCTATTATTTTCATTATTTAAAAAAATATTTTAACTTTTAAATTCTTCTAATAAATTTGTAAGTCATTAATTTAAAATTGATGTTAATAAAAACCAGGTATTTTAAATGTTGTAAGAAGTTCGGTTAAACTACGTAAGTTGCAAAAAAGATATTCAAAAAGATGTCCAATTTCATCATTTGAATATATAATTTTTTTGTTTCAAATGTAAAATAGAGAACTTTCCATTAAATTTCAAGCGTATGTTTCTATACAATTTTTAATCAGAATAAAATTCGTTATTATAATCATTTATAAAAATATGAGGCTAGAAACTTTTGCATTGCCCTTTTCTTGCCCTTTTTTGACCCTTTGCACCGTATTCAGATTTTAAAAAACCCTTTTTTTATAAGTAAACTACTAATACTCTAAAAGAAAATAAAATTTGTATGAGTGACACATAAAACCTGGCGGTCTCTTTGGCCAACCGTGAAAAGCGAATAAACATTTACAAAAAATCAATAAAAATGAATTCATTTAAAGCGTTTTGATTCCAGCGGTTCTCTACTACAAGACCTCAAGGACTTCTTCGAGTTTCCGCATTCTTTATTCCTAATTTTTATTGTTATATTTATTGTTATATTACTATTGTTAACGAAATCTTTATTGTAAATATTATTTATTTCTTTTTTATGTCTTACGTTTTATTCACATAAAGTTATAATAGAAATTGTAATAATGATTGTAATAAAGAATTAAAAAAAAAAAAAAAAATGTCTTTGGCATTGTACAAAATGTAAAATATGCAATAACACACCCATTTGTTTCTTTTATCTATACTTAAATGATCACTAATATCTCCAATTAATAGAAATTGTTTTTTAATTGTTTCTTAATTGTTTGACTTTGAATTTTGTTTCAGTTACTTTATGAGTTATATTATAAAATCTAAAACAAAAATCTATTTAATAAAAAAACAGATTTTTGTATAAAGCTGAACAACTTTTTATGTAGAATTAATAGGTATATAGTAGCAAAAACGGGAAATTAGGGCAAACATGATTTTTTTATGTTTCAGCTAATACGATTTAAGGCATTGTGCAAGCTTTGAACTTTAGTATATTCATCAAATTTCAAATGAGAATGTTTTGCAAAATATTGTGGTGACTTGAGCTTGGGAACTAAATATATCACAATATTTTGATCTGCGTGTAGCAGTTGCACTTTCCTGCAATATATAGTTTTTAACTTATTATATCAGAAATTATACATTAAATGCTTTAAGTATTCAAGAACTGCCTGCCCTGTGTATATAGACCTGTTGATTTTTAGCTGAATAGAGCTATATACACAGAGCAGGCAGTTTATGCAGTAAGTGCATTAGGTCAGCAATTAATTTACGTGATCTGTTTACCTTGCAAAAATGAACGATGTCAACACGTAAGATAGAATTGTTCATGAGTTTAAAGTTGTCTTTATCTGAAAAAGTATGAAGTAGCATTTTATTCCTCGGTCTTTAGTTTGATGTATGACCATATATGCGTTTTGACAAAACTTTACAACTCTACAAATTTAAGTTATACTCATTAAGAAGGATTAATACAGCTTTAGGTTGCCGTGACAAACAATTTAACGCTCTTTATTGTGAGGATCTGGAACCAATTTTCACACTCAGTAAATTTACATTTCGTTTAATTTTTGCTGATGCTCACTTGACCATTTTTCTGGAATGACCAGGGTTTCCGGAACTAGCGAACAGTCATTTTGAGTGTCATGCAGGTGTTCTGGGCATTCAGTTTTATACTCCAGAACATAACGTTCCGATGCGTTGTCAGGTGTAGCTAAAACTTCTTTGAGCTGCTGCTAGACTCACAGGATTGTTAAATTTAGCAAAACTTTTTGATACCGTTGAAATACCGCTGCCTAGTTCTCTCTTGAACAACAGGTACATGCCAATGCCAATTTGCAGTTAACATTAAATTCAGTCTTTTTTAATAATAAATACCACAGCATTTTAAGCGAGTTGAAGTAGTGCTCGGTTAAGAATGTGGTAACGCATCACATACTCTAAATTTTTTTAAGATGTCTGCCAAAAGCGTCACATTAGTTTTTAGATACGCGCCATGATAGTTGCTAAACGATTTACAACTAAGTATCTTTCATATGTTTTGCACTTGTCTGTTAATAGACTTCCGTTTCTATTCCTTTTCTAGACAGGTTTAATCAAAAATATTTTTTTGGTGTTTCTGGATTTATGCTTAGCCTAAGGTTGCATTTGTTGTGTATAACGCTATGATACGGTAATGCTGCAGTGATCACGTACCTTATTCTTGCGTACTTTGTTTTTCAACGTATGTTTAGCGTCTCAAAGTTGACATGGATAATGAAAGCAATCAGCATTTTTTTTGTAAAAGCTTGCAAAATTTAATATACTTTTTATCATTTTCTTGTATTAATGTCCGCTACAGTTTTTCTCCAATTCCAAGGCAACCATTTTGATAACTTCTTGCAGGTCATCATAAGAAAATACTTGCAGAAAGCGGCTGCGATGGTACTTTAGCGTTTTATGTTTGCTATTATAGTAACTTGTTTTTGCAAAGACAATATAATTCAACTTTTTTTTAGGAAGAATAAACATCAGGAATCATTTGGAGGATCAATATCTTTTTGAGGATTCACCCCCTTCCCTCATTTTATTTGTAGAATTGCCTCTGGTTGTCCATGCAGCATTTGTTGCACTTTGGAAAAAACTTCCGCGCAAAAAATTTATTTGAGCATACTCAAAAATTGTAAATTCAATCAATCAATCAATATATTTTCACTTAATAACTGCATATATATATACAATAGTGAGTGAGATTTACAAAAAATTAAAAACTGATGATACGTAAAGACCTACGATGGTATATAAAAAAGCTAGTGATGAAATTTGAAGAAAAAAATGCTAGTGCTAGTCAAAAAGCTAGTGATGAAGTTTGAAGAAAAATATGGTAAAACTTAAATTCTTTTACCATTTATATCGTAAAAAAATATAATTTTTGTTTACATAAGACTTAAAAATTACGAAATCATTATTTATACTTAGGATAGAATGATAATAGGTTCAAAAGTTTGCTTTTTAATTAAAATATTAATGCTCAAATAGATGTAGTAAACGGACTATTAATTTACTAATTAGATTAGGAATACTTTAGTTGTAAAATGTGATAAATGTTTAGCTATAACCTTATATATATATATATATATATATATATATATATATATATATATATATATATATATATATATATATATATATATATATATATATATACATGTTTTTTTTATTATTATTAGTATGTGTAATAATATTATAAGCGTTAAAATATCATATACAGTATCATAGGGATTGTCCATAAATTACGCAACGCAAAATATATCTTAAAAACATCGATTTCATATTTGGAATCTGCTTCTTCCTTCTACCTCTCAGTAAGCAGTAATTAAAAAAACACTATTTGTGTTTTACCAAGATTAGTCCCCTTACGGAAATATTCCATGGAAAACCCATGGAATTCCATGAGTAAACCATGGTTTTCCCATGAAAAACGGGAATTCCATGGAATTTCCATGGGTAAATTTCATGAAAATTGAAATCCTATGGAATTTCCATGGGTGAACCATGTTTTTTTTTCATAGCTTAAGCTGCGCCATGGTTGTTACAAATGCGCTTTTAAAGATGGCGTCATAGCTCGTAGAGTTATGATTATTTTTAAATTAGAAAACAATACTTACTGCATTCTTCTGTTTTTCTGTGTTTAATAAGGCTATGAATTATATGTTTTTTATAATGCAATACATTTATATGTTTTAACTAAACATACAGACATAAACAACTAGATATATTTATCATATTATAATGCATTATAAAAGGGATTATTTTTAATTATATTTTATTATATATCATTTATGCATATACTTATTTTAACTGTTTCCAGTAGCTTTGCTTACTTTGCATAACTTGCAATAGTATAGCAAGTATGTCAAGTAAACCAGTTTGAATTTTAATGCCTACTTGGCAAATTATTTGCCAAATAATTATTATTTGGTTTACAACAAATAAATGTTTAGTTTTAATCTACATTAAATAACTAGTGTATTAATGTACATAGTGTAATTTAATGTACATTCAAACTAGTATAATTATTATTATAAAATTTATCGAACGTATTAAAGAAACTTATTTAAAATATTAATATACAAGCAGTATATTAGATAAGATTAGATAACTAAGATAATAAGATTAGATAACTAATGTACAAAAGATAACTAGTATGATCTTTTTTATTTTTTTTTTATAATAGCCTTAGATTACATAAAAATGCTTGAAGTTTATTGTATCGTAAATGTTCATTAAGTATTAAAAAACATTTTTTTATGATAAATGTTCTATTCAATTTTAGTTCTGTTAAGTTGTTTTTGTCTTTTTGTTGTAGTTTTTTCTTTAGAATTATTAGAATATGTAAATAATGTAATATAAATAATGTTTATAAATTCTTTTATATTTACTTTATTATTTCATTTAAATTACTACATTATAAGCCAACAGGTTTGACTGGCAATATAAATAATGTTGTTCATCGTTTATATTGTTTATAACATCGTCAGTTTTTATATGCATTTAATATTTTTAAAAATAGTTCAAAAGCTGTCAAAATAAAATGGTGAATTGAGTTTAAACCAGAAAAGATATAAACGTAATCTTTGGGATTCAACTTGTAAGGATGTTCCAAGAACCACTTAGTTGGAGAAGGAAAACTGTGGTAATATTTTATAAGTATCAGTAAGGGAATTTACTTAATGCACAAGATTTTACTTCATAGTTAAATATAAGCATATAAAAGCAATGTTTATAAATAATACACTATTATTTATTATAATACAATTATTTTTATTTGTTTATATTTAACTGATGTAAAGTGCTC